AAACACTCTCAAAAAAAAAAAAAAAAAAAAAAAAAAAAAAAAAAAAAAAAAAAGCTTAACCTTGAGCAGTGTGTAGTGGATGGACTGAATGTGGCATTCTGCCTTGCTTGGTGTCTGCACAGGTCCTCAGACAGGCCTGGGATCCTGAGGGATGTGGGAGCCTTCATCCTTCGGGGGAAGGGACACAATGGTGTTACAAAAGCCTGTCCTCTTCAAATCACTTTCAGTTCATTGCAAAACATTTCTGCCTGTTAATGGATTTCAGGATCCTGCTATTCCACCTTAATTAAGCTAATCCTCGAATTATGATCAAGAAATTTCATGAAAAAAACAATCTGTAACAACATCACACATAGGAGATAAAACGAATAACGTGAACCACAAGGGAATGAGGAGTGACAATTCCTGTGACCCTCACAGAGCCCCTTATTTGTCACAAAAACAAGTGCAAGCTGACATGTTGGTCCAAACAAAGGAAAGGAGCCCACTCCAAAGCATGTGTCCTGTGTAAGTGCCATGAATCCTAACACTCCACCACCAGGGCAGAGACAGTGAAGTGTCCATTGTGCACTGTGCCATCAGACACCAGCTATTGATCAGGAGTGCATGACAAGCATTTTATTAGTGGATACATGGTCAAAAATATTTTGAGACAGTGATCGCATAGAGGGTTCCTATCATTCATTCCCGGATCTTCCAGGCAAGAATGACTCAACATTTTGGAAGAATCTCAGAAAGGATACTGGGAGAGGACTCGGGTAAGCATCATATATGGAGGACAGAACTTGACATTGCTCAGACAGAGTCACTTTTAACTAGGACCCCAAGATTTCTCAAGACAGGAATAAGGGCTGTGGACAGCCCTCGGGGGTTCCCTGGGCTTCTCTCTCTATCTCTTTTGGCACTGCTTCCTGCAACTTCTTTCACTTAATTGTGTCCCTGTGGACTTTGCTGGTCTCCTGTGTAGGATGGGGCTGGTAACTACTCTTCACGAGGCTGTGGGGAGATGCCTAGCAGAGTGCCAAGGGTCCCCAGGGGCAGCCTAGGATGGCGACCACACTATTCGTTAACTCAGAAAAAAAATGGTCCATTATACAATTGTAAACACCTTGCCAAGTATAGCAGGGAATGAATATCAGCTCCAATTCTGTGCTCAGGACTGGCCATGCTGGTGTGCTTCCATTTTCACCCATGGCTTCAGGGAACAGTGCATGATCCTAACTTGTTTTACTGATCCAATCTCAGAGAGAGGAGTTCAGTTTCAGGAGTCTTTGTAAAGTCCTCTTAAGGACTACATCACACTCCACTAATAGCTCGCCTGTATTTCACGTCCTCCTTCTGACAGTCCTCCTTTTCTTTCATGTCTTCAGTGCTGGGAATGGAACGCAAGACTTGGCACGTGCTAGGCTAGGCAAGCTGCTCCAACATTCAGCCCCTGCCTTGTTCTTTCTTGTCTCTTTAATGCTTCTTTCCTATCTGCATGGTGAGCTCTCCCCAGCCTCCAGCTGGGGTGATGTCGGAATCCAGTGGGGGGTTTCAGTGATACCTGACAGCCTCCAGGTCTTTCCTTGGGAAAGAGGGACCCCTGATCACTCTCGCACTGTCACTTCCATTTGTAGAGCCAAGCAGCCAAGATGATCACTGGAATATTTGACTCATGCACAGTGACCACATGGCAAGTGGGGGAAAGATGAATGGAAAGAAGGGAGGGAGAAAAGGGGGGAAGGGGAGGAGAGGTAAGAATTGTGTAAAGAGGAATAAAGGAAGAAAAGAGAACGAGGGAAGGGGGAGAGAAAGGAAGTAGGGAGGAGGATCTTTGTATATCCAAACCATGCAGTTCCTGCTCCATAAAATTCTTTTGTTGTGCAGCCTCCTACTAACCCTGCAAGATCTAAGCAGCATCTTCCTCCAAGTATCCCTACAACTGTATGGCCTTCCTTAACCTTCATGTCAACCCCACGAGGGGCACTTGTGACTATGTTTCACAGGCAGGGAAGCCAAGGGTTGGGAGGTTCCAACTATTGTCTAGATGTACTTCATCCTTAGAGAAGATCAGCACAGACTGACAGGCCACCCATCTCCCTCTGAGTACCACCTCTCCAGAGCCAGAGAAGGACCTGGGATCTGTGGGTGGCCCGTCTTACCCAGAAGGCATACCATTGGCTGCTCAGGAACGGCATAGGCAGAAATTGACCTCTCTGCCAAATGCCAAGCACACAGAGCCAAGGGACCAGCTTCCCCCCTCCCCACTTCAAATCAACCCAGAGACATCCCTACCCCGCTTCTACCCCTCCTCCATTTGCTTATGAGGTAGTTCTTTGCTTTCTGACCACTGTCTTCCCATGGTTCCCTATTGTCCTAGAGAAGTCCACACCTGACTCAGCATTCCATCTAACATCTGCAGTCTTCTCAAGTTGCAGTTTCCATCCTTCCTGGGGTGGAGTGTCCCTGCTGTACTATCCATAGAGATGACTAGGGACTCCTTAGATTACACTGGACAGTTGGTGCTTGGATTAGCACCAGGGGTGCTAGCTGATTTGTCTTGTGACATGCACGACACCTGTCAGCTGCTGAGAGCAGCATGTCGTACCAATTTCCCAAAGGCCTCGGGCTCTTGCTCTCCCATCTGCTATCTTAACTACCTCGGCTGGCATGTGTGTTCCCAGCCTCTCCCTCTGGCTCATCTTAGTCCACAGGCCTCGGCTCTGCAAACATGGCTTGTTCAGATGTGTCTCCCCAGGGTGCTCCATTTCAGCAGGGCAGGGTTTAGGCCCAGAGAAGACCCTGAGCATAGGCAACTTAGGCAAGTCTTCCTGCTGTGTGTTGCAGGAACTCTCCAAGCTGGGCTTAGGAGTGGACACTAACACAGAACTTCGAACTCTGCAACTGCCTGTGGATTACAGGGAGGTGAGGCAGAGGCTCACCACAATCTGGGAGGATTTTCAGCCACAAGTAAGTGACGCTTGGAAAAACGTGAGCCTGGGAGGCTGCTCATGTGCCAGGGCCTAGGAACTTTTTGGACCTTGTTCTAGGTTTGATTTGAAGGCTGGACTGCACCTTTCTCTTTGTCCCCATCACCAGTGTGAAGCACAAGCTTCTGACATAAAATTCTGGGTTTCTACATTAATTATGCTGAAACATGGGGTAGGCAGATCTTACAAGATGGCTGGGGTAGAAATGGAAATGGGCTTTTTTTTCCCCCTGAGACAGAGTTTCTCTGTGTAGTCCTAGCTGTCCTTGAACTCAGAGAGACTTGCCTGCCTCTACCTCCTGGGAGTAAGAAATGTGAGTCTCATTTCAAGCCAGGATTCAGGGATAGTTCACACCTAAGAGAGAGGCTCTGCATTAAGTCCCATTTATGGCTGTGCTGCCGGCTGTTCTAAGGGACTTAAGCCAAAGAGCTTTTGGGCCTAGGAAAGGTGATAGTCCACCCAGGACCAGCCCACCTTCAAAGCACCCTGCCAGGGTCCTGGTGTGATGGCATCCACCTTTAATCTCTGAGGGGCTGGAGCAGGTGGATCTCTGTGAGTTTAAGGCCAGCCTGGTCTACATTGTGACTTCAAAACTCCATTTCAAGCAAATAAAAGCATTCTGCCTACATAGTAACTGAACATAAGCATTATCTAAAAGGGGGATACAAATGTCCATTTTCCCAAAGGTAACAGAATGGAGATCAAGCACAGCACCCTGTGGAAAGACTCTACCCAAAGGCTGTATTTGGTGCTATCCTCTGCAGCTATTTTCAAAAGAGGCTATATAAAGTCTAGTAAGATTTGATTAGACTATGGCTAGCCTTCTTTATGAAAGTCACATTAAAAAGATGTGTGATTCTGTTACAATAAATCTTTCCACCAAAGGCCACCGAGCCCCACCGCCACGTGTGCACTTTACGCCAGCTGCCTGCCCGAGTTAGGCCCAAATTAATACACAGAAACTTGTATTAGGTTTAAATGCTGCTTGGCCAATGGCTAAGATTTCTCATCTGTTAGCTCAGTCTTATTTATCATAAATCTTATATTTTATAAGACTTATCTTATAGAGGATGCCTTCTGCTGGCACCCTCTCTTGCTGGTGGCTCACATGGTACGGCTGGAGGATGTGTAAGGGAAAAGGGACACTTCCTGTTTCTCCTTGCTTAAATATTATTCTCCTTGCTATGTCACTTCCTGCCCAGATCACCACTTGATTTTGCTAAAATCCAGCCCCCCTACCCCCATCATCTTAGATACCTGCTTGCCCCTGCTCACCCATGGGGAAAGAGAGCACACAACCTTGAAAGAGCCATTTGAAAACAGGAAAGTACTTAAATGATTTCTATCGACCCAAAGAAATGTTTGTTTTGCTCCAGCCCCATTAATTAGGGGACCAGTAGGGATCCTGGGGTTCATAGTGAATTTGGAGCTTGATATGTTTTGTACCCTGGAGCTGGGTTCTTTCATGGCTCAGCTTTTCTACACATCTAGTGATCTGGTGTCCTGGGATTTCTGATATGTGTGTTCACACAGCTTGTTGTGCATGTGGGCATGGACACTTCCACCAAGGCCATCTTTCTGGAACAGTGTGGCAAGAACCGAAGTTATCGGGATACAGACATACGAGGCTTCCAGCCTGAGGGTGGAGTGTGCCTCCCTGGTGGCCCGGAAGTGATGCTGTCTGTTATCAGCATGAAGGAAGTCTGCCGACGTGTTTCTGTTGAGGATGTTGAGGTGGCCTTTTCCCGAGATGCGGGCAGGTACGCTTCAGGTGTCCATGTGACAAACAGATATGAGAGAGGGAATGTCCTTCAGAGTCCCTTCTCTCTCCTTAGGATGTTATCCTTTGCTGTCAAGGTGGCTGCTTTGGTCATAGGGATCCCCTGAGTTGCATTCTTTGTCACTGGCCCTGCAGATTAATTTATCCTCTTCTCCAAACACTGACAGCCCCTCCCACTAAGCATTTTGTCCTCTCTTCAAGGACTAAAGAAATGCCTGAGTGAAGATGCAAGTGAGAGTCACTGTGGTTAAAGGTGCTTTAGCATTAGCTGTTTGAAAGTTTGGTTCTGGGCTGGCGAGATGGCTCAGAGGTTAAGAGCACTGACTGCTCTTCCAGAGGTCCTGAGTTCAATTCCCGGCAACCATATGGTGGCTCACAACCATCTGTAATGAGATCTGGTGCCCACTTGTGGTATGCAGATATACGTGGAAGCAGAATGTTATATACATAATAAATAAATAAAATCTTAGAAAGAAAGAAAGAAAGAAAGAAAGAAAGAAAGAAAGAAAGAAAGAAAGAAAGTATCAATTCTGCCCTGACCACTTGCTGGCCATTAGACTGAGACCAAGATCCAATATCTGTCTCTTGTGTTCTTAGCACTGTGTCTTTTCTCTAGCAGAAGAACCAAACTCAAGGGGTAGTTCCCTCATGCTTTATGAACACTGCACTTGCCATGTCTGGAAGTGACAGGGTCCCAGGAATAATGGGGGGTTTCCTGTGGTTGCAGGTATGTCTGTGACTACACCTACTACCTGTCTCTGTACCTTGGAAATGGGCACGCAGCCCTCCTCCACGTCCCTCCGCTGACAAACTGGCTCCCAGCCAGCCTCCTGGGCAAAGCCTTGCAAGTTATCATCCAAGAAATGCTAGAAGAAAGTTGGGGAATCCAGTCTCAAAAGTATAGCAGCCAAAGGGAAGCAGCAGGGGGACCAAAGGCAGATGCTTCCCAAGGGATTAAATAACTGGAGCTATGACTTTCAGGACAATTGTGTTGCAAGCCAGTACTTTCTCTTCCAAGGCTGAGTGGTCCTTCCTAGATTGGGGATGTCAGAGTTGCTTCAGAGGTTCCAGAAATGGAGATGTAGTCCTGGCTCCAGAGACCCCAATTCTGGTCCCTAAGCTTGTCATTTAGGTCTTCAGAATGACTCTGGGGCCAACCAGTCTCTAGTGTTTGACTTTCTCCTCTCTCTCTCTCTCTCTCTCTCTCTCTCTCTCTCTCTCTCTTCCTTTTTTTTTCTCTCTCTCTCTCTCTCCTTATCATTTTAATAACTTTTTTTTTTTTTTGGTTTTTTGAGACAGGGTTTCTCTGTGGCTTTGGAGGCTGTCCTGGAAGTAGCTCTTGTAGACCAGGCTGGTCTTGAACTCACAGAGATCCGCATGCCTCTGCCTCCCGAGTGCTGGGATTAAAGACTGGACGCCACTACCGTCTGGCTCCATTTTAACAACTTTTAAGTGAACAGTTCAGTGGTGTTTATTTCATGCACTCTGCTGGGTGTTCATCATCACAGTGTATCTCTAGAAGTTTCTCTACGACCATTTGTTATGGTTTGATTGTGCAATGCTACTCCAGGCTGGTGTGTTTGAACCACTTGGTGGTGGTGTTGTGGAGGGCTGTAGAATCTTCAGGTGGTGGAACCTTGCCTGAAAAAGTGACTTACTGGCAGCAAGCTTCCACACTTTTTGTCTTCCTGCACTTCCTTTCACTCTGGATTCCTGAAAGCAGATGAAATGTGAGTAGCCTGTCTCCTGCTACCGCCACTATGGCTTCCCTTTGAACTGTACAGCAGAACAAAACCTTTTCTCCTGAAATTGCGTTTGTTCCAGCACCTTGCCACAATAGTAGGAAAAGTAACGATTATGCCAATAGTTCCCTATTGTTTCTCTTCCTCAGCCTTTGGCAAGCACCACTATACCCTCCATCTTTATGACCTGCAGGAGTCATGAACCTAATGTAAGTGGAGCCTTACATTATCTGTGTCTCTAGTTTCACCTATGTGGTAGCACACAACAGGATCTCATTGCTTTGCAAGGCTGAATAGTATGCCACTGTATGAATACAGCACACTTGTTTCCCCCCTCCATCTATAAATAGTCACTTAATAAATGCTGCCGTGAACACCGATGTCTGAGTATCTGCTCGAGTCCCCGATCTTCAGCTCTGTTTTTTGTTTGTTTGTCTATATCCAGATGTGGTGGTTTGAATAAAGATAGCCCCCATAGACTCATAGGAAGCAGCATTATGGGAGTACTTGTAGACTTGTTGGAAGAAGTGTGTCACTGGGGGTGGGCTTTGAGATTTCAGAAGCTCAAGCCAGGCCCAGTGGCTCCCCGTCTCTTCCTGCTGCCTGCGGATGCGGGTGTAGTACTTGCAACTACCTTTCCAGCACCATGTCTGCCTACATGCCACCATGCTTCCTGCCATGATGATAATGGACTACACATCTGAACTGTAAGCCAGCCCCAATTAAATGCTTTCCTTTATAAGAGTTGCCAGCAGCTCTTCACAGAAATAAAACCCTAAGACATCAGAGGTGAGTGGCACCTGGGAATTTTGTCTAGCTTTGTGAGGGGGGTGCTATACTGTTTTCTACAGTGGTTGTACCACTATTCCTTCCCACTGGATGGGTTTGCTCAGAAAGCTAGCTCAGGAGTTGGATTTGAAAGCCTCCCCCCCCCCCCCCCCCCCGCCCCGGCCCAGGGCGAAAGCTTGATGCAAATGTCAGGAGGCTTTATTGCAGTTGTTTAACAAGCTAACCCTATGTTTTGCTCGGGCCTTTCATCCACCCACCATGGCAGATGGCTGGGAAAAGCCCCTGAGAAGCCACAGGACCGAGATCTTATAGGGCAGTGTAAGGGGAGTGTCTAGGGGTATGCACAGGCTCAGGATTGGTGTGCCTCCAGGCTTGGAGGGTTTGCCCTGTGTTGATTGGTCAACTGGTTGTTATGGACCATAGGCCCTTCCAGGGTGGTTGCTATGCTTTGCTTGTCATTGCTGTGCACTTGTCCTTAAAGCACACCCAGAGCCGTAAAGCATAGCACTACCAGCTAACTTCTGATTGGTTCCTTGTCATGAGGCAGGCATCTGACCTCCTAGTGACCAAGGCAAGGTCAGGTAAGCACGTATTAGACTGTTATGGCTGCCGAAATGGGGAGCTGGTCCCTTCAGATTTAGTTGTTTATCATCAACACTGTCGGGGGCCCATAAAGATGGCTCCTGTTCATCTTGCCTCAAGGTCAGAGAGTTCAAAACTGTTCTTAGTAAGTCAAAAGGCCTAAAGGTCTAAGGCTTGGCTACTGCAGGATGTTTTTGTCTGTCTAAATAACAACAGATTTGGGCTCAGGTGTATTTACTCTTGACCCTGAAGGCAAGATAACAGGTGTGGTTACCAAATGCTTGGAGGACTAAGGGAAGAAAGTTGTTTGCTCCTTATACATGATAATAGAAGTCTTCTGCCACGTCTGCCTTTTGGTTGGGGTACTTAAGAATGTCAAAGAATAAACTTGGGGCATTCAGTATTCACTGATTTACCCTCCTGATCAAAGTAGCTACTAAACACTGGACAACTTCTTGTCATGTTGGTATGCTCAAAACCACTGTTTGCACTGGGTCTTGGTGGCACACGCCTTTAGTCCCAGCACTCGGGAGACAGAGACAGGTGGATCTCTGAGAGTTCGAGGCCAGCCTGGTCTCCAGAGCAAGTTCCAGGATAGGCTCCAAAGCTACACAGAGAAACCCTGTCTCGAAAAACCAACCAACCAACCAAACAAACACAAACAAACAAAAAACCCCACTGTTTGCAGCTGGGTAGTGGTGGCACACACCTTAGTCCCAGCACTCAGGAGGCAGGTGGATCTCTTTGAGTTCAAGGTCAACTGGTCTACAGAGCCAGTTCCAGGACAGGCTCCAAAGCTACAAAGAGAAACCCTGTCTCCAAAAACAAAACAAAAACAAAACAAACCACTGTTTGGTACTTATGTCTGGAAAAAAAAAATCACAGTGGCTTACAGTAAGAAAATGCATTTGTACGCCTTTAATCCCAGTACTCCGGAGGCAGAGGCAGGTGGATTTTTATGAGTTCAAGACCAGCCTGGCCAACAAGACCTAGTTCCAGGACAGCCTCCAAAGCCACAGAGAAACCCTGTCTCAAAAATAAAACAAAACAAAATAAAAAACAACCAAAAAAAGAAAAGAAGAAGAAGAAGGAGAAGGGGAAGGAGAAGAAGAAGAAGAAGAAGAAGAAGAAGAAGAAGAAGAAGAAGAAGAAGAAGAAGAAGAAGAAGAAGAAGAAGAAGAAGGGTTAAGAAGACAACGCGTTTGTAGCCTAATAGCTAAGGGAGACTGAGTTGGGGGTGTAGTTCAATGGCAGTGTGCTGCATGAGCCCTAGTCTTCATGTGTTCCAGGACAATCAGGGAGAAGAACAGGAGAGAAGAGGAAGGGTAGGGAGAAAGGGCAGAGGGGAGTGAGGAAGGAAGAGAGAATATGAATGCACAAGGCCCTGGGTTCAGTAACCAGCACTACAAAGAGTCACCAAAACGTAGTTTCAAAGCCAAAGGAACTGAACAGCTGTCATCTTTTTTTCCCCTCCTGAGACAAGTTTTCTTTGTGCAACCCTGGCGGTCCTGGAATTCACTATGTAGACTAGGCTGGCCTCAAACTCACAGAGATCCACCTGCCTCTGCCTCCCGAGTGCTGGGATTAAAGAGCACCACCTGGCTGCTCTCCTTTCTTTCGCTGCTAGTTTGAAGAAGAGACTTTAGGAGACGCTCTCTGCAAATAAACAAGGAACATTTCACATATGACAGATCCAAGTCACACTAAGGCTGATAAAAGCCAAAGGTGGGTTGGGGTGGTTTAGGCTGCCTGCACAGAGCCTAGATGCTTGGCTGGTCCTATGGAGACCCTTCCCCTTTGTGAGCAAAGAGTGTTAGACCCCCGGAAAACTCAGGTATCCGGGGTCCCAGGCCACGACCGCGGTCACCCCAATCACCAGGCAGATTCGAGAGCTTGCTGCAAACTGCATGAGGCTTTATTGTAATTTAACGAGCTAACCCCATGTTAGCTCCGGTCTTTCACCCACCCACCATGGTGGATGGCTAGCAAAGACTCTGAGAAGTCACAGGACCGAGATCTTATCGGGCAGCGTAAGGGGAGAGTCTACGCAGAGGCTCATGATTGGGGTGCCTCCAGGCTTGGAGGGTTTGCCCTGTGTTGATTGGCCAACTGGTTGTTATGGCCCATAGGCCCTCCCAGGGTGGTTGCTATGCTCTGTGTGTCATTACTGTGCACTTGTCGAGCTTGTCCGTAAAGTACACCCAGGGTCATAAAGTACACCCAGGGTCGTAAAGCATAGTGCCACCAGCTAACTTCTGATTGGTTCCTTGTCACGAGGCAGGCATCTGACTTTCTAGTGTCTAGGACAAGGTCATACAAGCACGTGTTCGGCTGCTATGACTGCCGAAAGGGGAGCTGGTCCCTTCAAGAGCTTCTGCTTAAAGCCTTACATCCCCTCCTTTTCTGGGAGTGGGCTCCAATGTTACTTCAGATCACTTGGCACCTGCCAGACACATTAAAAAACATTGTGGTTTTTCTTGTTTGTTTTTCAAAGATACCTAGTTGGGAAGCCCAGAGCTCCCCATTGATGACCAGCCCTCCTATTTCCCCTTCTGTACCTCTGAAGTTCCTCAAGACCCGAAGGACCCTTTGCATTGTGGATTTTGTAAATGGCTTGGCATCCCCTGGCAATACACAGTGTCCTGTTCAGTTATGGCTTTTGTTTGTTTGATGGTTTTCTATGTTTGATAGCCGTAGTGTACACGGTTGGTCTGCATTGGTTATTTAACAGCTGGGAGGTTTGGAGCATGACTGTGTTTGTCAATAAACCAGACTAATAAAAAGTCCCACCTTTGCAGGTTGATTGTGACTACCCAATGAAGGGGTGGATGAGAAAATGTCAACAACTC